CCAGAAAGTCTGCCTGCTTTCCTGCCCCGTTCCTCTTTCCTATCCCTTGCTTTGGGATGAGGTGATATGATTGAGAGCTATTTGGGTAGATTGGATGGGTTTAAATGGAAGGAGAAAGCCAGTATAGTTCCTTTTTCTTAGAATGAGTTACAGGCAAAGAAATCATCCCACTTTATTCCTTTCTCTTTCAAGCTCAGGTCTAACAGAACCCAGCAGAGAGAAAAGGCAGTGACATAATTGGCTGGGGGATATTGGAGGGTCAGAAGCTGTGATGATGGTGGTACCTTAATGGTGGTGACAGCTGCGGGGGTTATGTAATTAATAACTGGAAGAGCTTAGCAGAACAGCTTGCTTTGTTCCATAGATGTAACTTGAAAGTACCCTGTGGGAGGCTGAAGTGGGCAGATCACTGGAGGCCAGGATTTTGAGACCAGCCTGGCCAACATGGCAAAACTGTGTCTCTAGTAAGAATACAAAAATTAGCTGGGCGTGGTGGTGCACACCTGAAATCCCAACTACTCAGGAGGCTGAGGTACAAGAATCACTTGAACAACCAGGAGGCAGAGGTTGCAGTGAGTATAGATCACGCCACTGCACTCCAGCCTGGGTGACAAGGGTGAGACTGGGGAAAGAAGGAAGGAGGGAAGGAAGCAAGGAAGGAAGGGAGGGAGGGAGGGAAGGAGGGAGGAAGGAAGGAAGGAGAATAAAGACTAAAAGACAGGAAGACAGGAAGGAAGGAATGAAGGGAGGGAGGGAGGAAAAGAAAGGGAAGGGAAGGGAATGGAAACGGAAGGAAAAGAAATAGAAAAGAAAAAAGAAAAGAAAAGAAGGCGCTCTGATGGTCATCTGCAAGCCACAGAGACACTGAAGTCAGTGGACAAATACTCAAGCCTCCTTGTCATCCAGGCAGATGATGCTGAGGGCTGTTCTACAAGATTTCTCAGTGGATGCCTAGCCGGACTGAGCCTCAGTTGCCCATGGCAGTGATTGGCCCATCAACATACCTTAATGTTGGCTTCTCTCCCTTTCACAGTTTGCTTTCCCCATTTCTTCACTCCTATTTCCTGGAATCACCTCCGAAAAAAAAAATACCTACATCCAAGCTCTTGTCTCCAGATCTGCTCTTAGGAGAATCCATACTGACATGGGCATCTTCCAATCCAAAAGTGAGTCTGAGCAGGTTGTATTGCCCCTGGGAAATCATGCTTCCATTCTCCTGCATCTGCGGCTGCTCTCAGCTAAGAAGCTCCCACATGAGATCCTGAAAACATTTATATTTTCAGGAGTTCTGGGTGATTGGGCATGTGTGTGCCAGAAAGGCCACGTGACTGGTTGGTGGCTGGCTAAACAGAATCCCTGGTTCCCACCTCCTTTGCTGGCTTGTGGGTGGGCACACAGCCAGACCTAAAGGTACCATGCACACAGAAACTTATGCTTTCCCCCCCACTTTTGCTGTTTCATAGTCATACACACACATTCTGCATTAAGAAGCAATTCTATCCCTCTGTGGACAGGGTCACACCCCAGCAAGAGTTCCCCATGGGCTGTGAGGAGGGAGGACCATCAGGAGGATCTAGGCAGGAGGAGTCTCTTTGGAATTCTTGGATGAAGAGGTTTGGGGAACACAGAACATCCACTGCTCTCACAGAAATGGTGGGACTCCTCTACAGGTACAGTCCAAGGGGTCAAAGCATTGTATGGTCAATCCTGAAAGGGGTCATTTAGAGCTCTGAATAATTAAGCTTTCAAATGATCGGCCAGTGGGAGGGATATTTTTCTGAAATCGTGCCATCTTAACAGATGGGCAGGCCCATCAGGTGCAGTGGATGGACAGAGGGTGGGACTACAGGCAACCTTTGATTTCTAGCTTCTGTCTGAAAAACTGATTTTGTCTTGACCAGTCAGGCATTCATTCAGCAAACTTGTATTGAGCACTTGATCCAAAGATGACTGAAACCAACCCCCTTCTCTCACCGTTCCAAAATTAGTCATAGACAGTTGATTTAAAAGTAGATGTGATTTCTTTTCCAGGAGAGTCTTGAAGGACTTCTGACCATGTGGGTAAGGACAGTTTTCAGAGATGGATTGGGGGTGAGAACAATGCTTAAAAGGAGGTATAAGGGGGAGAATGGTGGGGGGACTATGGAGAGGAGGGATAGAGAGAAAGAAGGGCATCCCCTGAAACCCCAAACAGTGAGGTCTTTCATACCCTAACCCTGCCCATCACGTGGAACAAGGGAACATGTTAGCTGAGAAAGCCACCACTTCAGGTCCTAGATGGCTGCTGTTTTGAGGTACCCACCTACACCCTCCAGAGAAAGAACTGCCCACCCACACTCTCCCACCACTTGCATTTTGCCTAGAGCAGTGGGGGGTGGGAGTTGCAGGGGGATGAGTAGACCCCTGTGCATCACTAAGCAAAGAAGATCAGGGACTAGCAGGTGAACCTGCAGCTGGAAGCACCAGGAGGACAAAAACTGCAATTTCTTCCTTAAGGTGGGACACAGGACAACCTGCTGCAGGGAACAGAAGAGCAGGATCCTGCCATATGTTGTAGAAACTGTGAGGCCAGATTCCACCTGTCCAGTCCCCAAGGGAAAACTTTCTCCTTGACCCTAAAAACCAATTGGGCTAGCTGATGCCTCAGCAAAATTTTAGTAAGATGAGTCTCCCTGAAAACAGCAACTGGAAACTGCCCCTCCTCCTTACATTCATTCTCTCATTCTCTTTCCCTCTCACCCCTAATTTTCGGAAGAATAAAACACATGAAGTGAGCCATTCCATCCTCTACCCTACAGCCTGTTTGGACTAGTGAATTACTAGTCAACCTTTCTAAACAAACAAACAAAACAGGTTTCCAAACACAGGGGAGAGGAAGGAAGCCAAAAGAAGGAAGAACAGAAAAGGAGCTCAGCCCTTCCGTCTCCCGTGGAGCCTCCCCAGCCCACCAGGGAACATCACCTCCACCAGTAGCCATAGCAGACCCACTGTGTGCCAGTCACATATTAGGTCCTGGGAGATACTGATCCTGCTGATGAAGGGTTCACATGCCTCTGACCATTGGGGTAAGAAAATATGCAAATCAGCAAGGACCTTGATGGGAGCCTAGTGCTGAGAGGGAAATGGGTACAAGGAAGAGGTGGGAATTCCCAAGGAAAGTCTGTTAATAAGTGGGGCAGAAAAAGACTTTATTAAAAAATGACTTTGTAAATACTTTATCTTTTTTAGAGTAGCTTTAGGTTTGCCACAAAAGTGAGAGGAATGTGCAGAGTTCCCCTCTAGCCCTCCCCCCTACACATACATAGCCTCCCCCATTATCAACATTCCCCCACTGGAACATTTATTATCACTGATGGACCTACACTGACACATCATTATCACTCCAAATCCATATTTACATTAGAGTTTGCTGCTGGTATTACATATTCTATGGGTTTAGACAAATGTGTCACCACATGTTTCCACCAGTATACTATCAGACACAGTATTTTCACCCCCCTAAAAAGCATCTGCGGATTTTTAGAGAAAAAAGCAACTTTTGCATGTTGCTAGGTAAGTGTTGCTTTCCTAGTAGGGGAACAGCAAGAAACAGGAGTCACTGAAACACCATGGTGCTGTTCTGTAAATGGCTGGAAAATAAGGCTCAAGGAGCCAGATGGGGCCGGGAAAGAGAAAAAGACAGAAACACAGGCAGATTTGAACACCGTGGGAATAGATTTGCATGAGAATGGATTGAGACTTCTGCAACAGCCCAGGGGAGAAATGAGGGGGGTTTTTAGACCCGGTGAGAGGTATGAGCAAAGCAAAGTTGAAAAGACCCTCCTGGTAACTGCTATGATTGACAGCCAGGAGGGCAGGGTTCCCCAGCACAGCCCTGGCACAGGCAGCTCTAGAGGTCTCCCACTCCCTTCCTTTTGCCAGTCTCCACCCTTCTCTCGCTTTGGGGGACTGTGATCATTGGGTGGCAGATGACTTCTTGAGACGTTCACTAATGTTTCCCTCTTTACTTCCTCCCTGCCTTGGTGGTTAATGGTTTGCCAAAGCAGAAGGAACATGCCTGTAGACGCTTGCCATGGTGACTTTTGCTTCCCAAAGTTAAGCTACTGAGCTGTTTATGGTTTGTATGACGGGGCCTCAGAGGTTAAGAAAAGGAAGGAGAACTTCTAGAGGATACATGGGGACTGAAGAAGAGGGGGCAGACTTTTCTGCAAGCCCTGAGCTGCAGTGCACACTCACTCTCAGCTGTGGAGCTTCACAGCCATCCCCTCTGCAGGCTCCCAGCCTCTCCAGAAACTTCCGTGCCCCAGGAGTAACAGAGATAAGGCGACGGGAACAAGACAGTATCTGCGGAATACAATGCCTGCTAAAGACAAGAGAGGACTCCCCAGATCCTTGTATTAGACCCTAGGACTTGGTATTGCAGGAAGAGCTTAGCTTCCCAAAATCAGAGGTCAATTTATTGTCTGCCCTGTAGAATGGGAGGCAGAGTTTGAAGAGTGGATGTAAACAAAGGAATGCACTGTTTCTCAAACGTACCTCTCTCCACTATCTGGGCAGAGTATAAGTCTGCACCAAGCATTCAGCTGAGAGGCTGCAGCAGGAGAGGCAAATTGAGGAGGGTGCGGTGCGCACCGTCTCGCCATCAAACTAATGGAAACCCAGGTGACCGTCCTTGTGTCCCCGGGGGCTGTCAAGTTGGATGCTAGGAAGGAGGTGGCGTTCCAATCTTTAACTTTTAAAAATACTTGTAGGTACGCAAAAACACGAAACCGTCAATGGAAAAGTTCTGTCCGGCGTAGCTCTAACCCGGTACAGCGCCAGCGGGCGTGGCAGCACCAGGCCTGGACAAGGAGCGCCGCGCATGCGCACTGCACACACTGAAGCCGCCTAGCCCTCCACGAAGTGGGCGGAGGCTGCCCGGGCATCCGGGTCCCTCGCCCCGCCCCCGCTGCATGAATGAGAGGCGCGGCGCCCGCCCCTCCCCCGCCGGACCCGCCCCTCGCGCGGGGCCGCCGAGCGCAGTCAGCCGCCGCCACCTCAGCTGCGCTCAGTCCGGACAGACGCTCGCCGCTTGCAGCCCACAGCCCGCTGCAGGACGCTGACGGTTCCGCACGTCTGGCGCTGTCGCCGGCGCGCCCGAGTAAGTGAGCGAGGGAGGGCGGGGGCGCAGTGGGCCGCCGCCCCCGGACTGGGTTTTGGGGAACCCAGACGGTCCGGGTTCGGGATGCTGAGGAAACGGCGGGCCGGCGCTTGCCTCCCCCCCCCCCCCCACACACTCTCCGGGCGCCTCGGCGGGCCGGGCGCGGGGCGCAGGGGTGAGGCGGTGGCCCCAGGCTGAGGAGGGACGTGGAGGAGGGGTCCGGAGCGGCCCGGGGACTGGAGGGTGAGTCCCGCTCAAAGGGCAGAGCGGGGCTGTCACCAGGAGATCACAGAGGGAAGGTGCGCGGGCCCCCGCACGTCCTGCTCGCCCGAGCCTCGGCGTCGGGTTCCCGGGCGTGGGAGGCGGCTGGGATGAGCTGCGAGGCAAGGAGGAGGATGGCGAGGACGCTGCCTCCGCGCCGGCGGTGGGGTCGCGGCGTGGCAGTGTTTTCCTGGTCCCGGTCCACTCCTCCCCTTCTTTGTGGCGCTTGTCTCGTGCCCCGTTGTCACAGTGTGTATGGCAGTGGTCAGGGTGGAGACCTCTTCCCTCGGCTTGCTCATTAATGAGAGTCACCATCTGTGGGCAGGAGGGCGTGTGTGCTTCCACAGGCCGGAGAATTAAGGACCCTCCTTTGTTTCTGGAGACCTACTGGTGTGTACGTGTCTGTGTGTCTGTGTGTGCGCATGCAAGTGAGAAGGACGCCTGTGAAATCAGAGATTGTCAACAAGGGTATAAGGAAAAGAGGAGGGGATAAAACTTCATCACACCTTTCCCAATTCTTTGATGTTACTTCAAACAGCAGTTTTTTCTCACTGTAAAACCATTGGGTTTTATTGATTGGAAATGTGCGTCTAAATTCTTACATAGCTGTGTCTCTAGAATACTTTGCCATTTGGTGCTTAGTTAATGGTTAAGAGTCTCATGTCTGTCTACATGGGAATACTCCAACGTATAGAACACTGTTTTCTGGGTTTAGTTCATTGATACTTTGTATGCTCATAAACATGTCTATAGGAATATTCCCAATATATCTAGGACAGTTTTCTCCGCTCCTGAATACAGGCAGATTTTGTTTCTTCCTGCCTCACTGTGTTAATAAGAAGGTGATCCAGCAGGTTCTCTCCACCTCCTTGCTTTTTTTTTCTTAATGCTTTGGCAGAGGGTTTTATTGCATATTACCCTGGCATGCGCCCTTGCTTTGATGTGAATTTTCCTGTGTTCTGTTGACCGGTTGTACAGCCCAGCTCAATGGCTCCTCTTACAGGACTGCTGGAAAACAGAACACCTTTTTTCATTGTCCTCATCCCCAGAGAGGAGGAAGCTCTGTAGGTTCTCACAGACGTTGGCTCTTAAGACTGCCTGCCTGACTTGGTTGTGTTGATAAAGTTATGAAGAGTTGCAGTTGATGTAGGCCAATCAAAAAGAGGCTGTTGAGATAGCAACCTGCTCTTCCTTGATATTTTGTTTTTAAAACAAATTGTATGAATTTTGCAAGATAGTTAACTCCGGTTGCATGGTGATTTTCAGTTTCTTTTTTACCCTTATGCTTTTACGGTGTTGGGAAATTAGGTAAACTCAGTTGTAAAAAACACACCTCCATGATATTTTTATTATGGGCTGGGCGCAGCGGCTCACAGCCGTAATCCCAGCACTTTGGGAGGCCGAGGTGGGTGGATCTTTTGAGGTCAGGTGTTCGAGACCAGCCTGGCCAACATGGTGAAACCCTGTCTCTACTAAAAAATACAAAAAATTAGCCAGGTGTGGTGGCAGGCACCTGTAATCGCAGCTATTCGGGAGACTGAGGCAGGAGAATCGCTTGAACCCTGGAGGCATAGGTTGCAGTGAGCCGATATCATGCCATTACACTCCAGCCTGGGCAACAAGAGTGAAACTCCATCTAAAAAAAAAAGATATTTTTATTATGATCTTTTGATTCAAAATAGCAGTTTTAAAAAATTAAGAGGTGCTTACATTGGGTGACATAAATAATTATGAGTTACATTTTCTTTTTCTCTTTAAGATTTTTAAAAATCACGTGTATTTTAATTCCTAGTAGTTTTCAATGGAAAATGAAATGTAAACTAAGCAGTCTTCCACAGCATCTGTTTATGTACATTCCCTCTGTTTAAAACATTTGCTTTTAATTTGAAGAGGAAATTTTCCATGGTTGGATCAGGATACATTATTCTTGTTAAATTCTTACCTTATGTTACCACGTTCAAATTCTTTTTTTGAAAGAGTAAAAAAAAATTAGTGAAAGTTGATTTTTCAGTTGAGGAAGTTTTGGTTTTATGATGCATGGTTTAAATAAAATCTTAATTCAGATAAGTTAATTTAAAACAAGAGCTTTTATGAAGGAAAAATAAAGCAGGAAAAAAAAACAAGAGCTTTATTAACTAAAGTCACTAATGTTGAAGCAACCCAATACATTTATAAACTGCCTGTCTTGACTGCGTAAAACATTTTTTAGGTGTCCCCTTAAAACAAACCATAAGGGGAAGTCTTAGATAAACAGAGTAGTATAACCGGAATTATCACTGAAATAGGCTTGCACAGTATTGCAGTTTCATGGAACTTTAATTTTGCAAGAGTGACTTAGCTATTTTTTTATATCAACAAAGGAACCTAAATACAGCCTGGCCTTGTTATTCAGGATTCTGTTAACCAAAATATTTGCCAACCCATAGTTTAGCATTCTGTAGTATGATGATTGAAGAAAAAGTCTAAACTAACTTTTAGATCATCAAAATAGATAAAATAATGTTAAATGCTGTTTCAATGGTAAATATTTATTCATTAGAATAGTAATATTATTATGTTAATAATGGTAAGAGAATATATGATAACACTTTGTTAACTAGGATCTATTATCCTCCCAAGAATGTCTCATAATAAAAGGTAATTTTTTTTCCATTGAGCATTCTCTATCAATAATGTGTTTTTGTTTTTTTGGGTTCTCTTTTTTGAGATGGAGTTTTTTTCTCTGTCCCCCAGGCTGTAGTGCATTGGTGTAATCTCAGCTCACTAGAACCTATGTGTCCCAGGTTCAAGTGATTCTAGTGCCTCAGCCTCCCAAGTAGCTGGGACTCAGGCACGGACCACCACACCTGGCTAAATTTTTTTGCATTTTTAGTAGAGACGGTTTCGCCATGTTGACCAGACTGGTCTTGAACTCCTGTCCTCAAGCCATCCACCCTCCTTGGCTTCCCAAAGTACTGGTATTATAGGTGTAAGCCACCTCGCCCAGCCAAAATTGTTTACTGCTTTAAATGGGAGTTTATTCTAAAGATCAGTAATATTATTATTATTAGGTGTTAGCTTGAATCATATGAAATTGCCATGTTTTAGCAGTCTTAGATGGTTCAACCACTCTCAACTTGTACTGGTTTCTTTTGGTATTTACCTTTATATTTCTCTTTCTTTCTTTCTTTTTTTTTTTTTTTTTGCTTCATGGTCAGCACCAATACCTTTATATTTAAATGTTTATACTGCTATTTCTTAGTTTTTCACTTTTTGATATTATCTGTGAACTTCTGTTTTGGAAGTTGAAGACTTAACTGTCTCACATAACCATCCTTCCATTTCCCACTTGTACTTGACAGTTAAGTCGGTATTCTGTATGCATATGACTGACAGTGTACCTATTATTCACAGATGGGCCATGTAAGGTACTGTTTTACAGTATTTTCTTCTTGTACAACGTTTATTGCTCCTGAATTAAATAATTGCCTCTTTTGTTTGTTTGATTTTCATTTGCTGAGTTTTCTTTGTATCGGTCACTAATTCATCCAAACTCTATGACAAAACTGATTATCTTTGAATAGTCTCAGATAATTACTCACTTTCATATCTTTTCCCCAGGAGATGGTCCTACTGGAGCCCCCCATCTTGTATTCCAGTCTGGACTGGTTTGCTTCCTGGACTACTGCATAGCCATCATCCTGGGACTTCCCTTTGTCATCATCTTGGGAATTCCCTTTGCCTTCCTCCAGTGTTAGGTCTTCTATTTCCTGGATCCTGTGTCTTCCTTATTCTTGAGTACCTTCCTGAGAGAGATACATACAAAATCTGAAATTCCTTCCTAAATTCAGAATTTACATGTCTGGAAATGCCTTCATTTTACCTTCACACTTGGATGGTAGTTTAGCTTGGTGTTAAATTCTGGATTGAAAATTAGCGTCACTGTTTTGAAGACATTGTTCCATTAGCTTTCACTGTCACTATTGAGAAGTCCAATGTCATTTTAATCTCCATTCCCTTTTTCTTCCCACTCTGGAAAATTTTAAGATCTTCAGTTTATCCCTGGTGTTCCTGACATTTCATGATGTACCTTAGAATAGATCTCTTCTTTCCTTGTGCTTGTGGGGGAGATTGTATTTTCCAAAAATGGCTGAACATATATGTGTGTGCATACTCCTCCCATCTTACCCAATATGCTATTCTTTGTGTTGTTCTTTTGCCTCCGTCAAGCAGTGGGGTTTTTGCTTCCTCCTCTTTAATGTGTGCAGACATGAAGTCTCCTCTGAATGTTTTGGGTCTTGAGCATTGTGTTTTAAGAGCACACATAGAAAATCAAGAATATGCACCTGGCACTGCTAGGTGCCCAGAGCCATCAGGCCAGCATCTCCCTTCCCATTTGCCTTGTGACCACTGTTCAGACATTTTGAGATTAAGCACTGTAGATGTGTATGTGTTCATTGAGAGAGGGGGTTAAGTTTTTTTACTTTTAAATAAAATCATCAATGAAAATATCAATTGACATCACAGAGAGTTTCAAGTAGTGAAATGAATCAACATGAAGGCTGTCAGGTGCATTTTTTAAAAATCCACCTTAGGAAATGACAGAACTATTCATGACCAAAAAGAAACTATCTTGAGCTTCATGATTAAATACGTCATTATTAAATGTGACAAATATATTGTTTGGAAGAATTTCTGTGATGAGAAGATGGAAGCCAAAGGAGGTACATAGACCATAGCTTGACAGAACATTGTCAGTA